CTGATGACACTCAGTTTGTGCTTGGGGCAACTCCTGCTAGACTGAAACACCGGCATTGGAGTCTGTTCAGTGAGCCTCCATGTTCTCGCTTCCTTTTCCGGTCACTGCCCCAGCATTCTTGCTTGGAAGCAACATGTGCAATTCGACCATCTCATCTGTATTTCTAGATCTCTCTAAGGGTTGTTCCTCTCCCGTATTTTCCACAGGGCATTTACCAGTTTCCCTATTGGCCTCAGTGTTGGGGCTGTTTCAGGCTCCATTTTCTTGAATTAAATGAATACACCAACAGTCGGCAGTGGAGTAGGAGATGAGCGCAATGATGACGTCTCTGCAGCGGAGAAACCAGATTTATTTATTTTGTGTGCGTTGGTGTTCGGCCTGCTTGTCTGTCTCTGTAAGGGTGTCGGAGCCACTGGGACTGGAGGTACAGACAGCTGTGAGCAGCGATGTGGGTGCTGGGTCTCGAACTCAGGTCCTCTCTGGAAGAGCAACCAGTGCTCTTAACCTCTGAACCATCATCTCTCCAGGCCCTATCCTTAAACTTTCATCTACATGTTCCCATGTCTTTAAATTTACAGGCCCTTCTCTAGGGAACCAAGGGCAGATATTTAGAATGAAAGTGAGAGCTTCTCTAAGTGCTCTAGCAAAATGTTATGGGAACTAGATGCAGAAACAAACGGAGCATCTAAAGCAGTGGTTCTCAACCTGAGGGTCGTGACCCCCTTGGGGTTGTTGAATGACCCTTTCTTAGGGGTTGGCTATCAGATATTTATATTATGATTAATATTTATTATTATAACAGTAGCAAAATTACAGTTATAAAGTAGCAACAAAAATAATTTTGTGGTTGGGGGGGGTCACCCCAACATGAGGAACTGTATCCAAAGGGAGGTTGAGAACCACAGGTCTAAAGGAAAAAAGAAAGAGTACTCTTTAGGATGCAGCTGTGCCGTGTTTTACTCCTGGCCGTTCCACCTCTTCCTTTCTTTTCTTTTTCGCCTTTTATTCTACCTATTTACTTATTGTTTTCAGGCAGTCCTCTGGTCTGACTCTTTTCACGCTATATTTATCATGGCTGTGCTCACTCTTGGTGATTTCTCCCATACTCGTGCCCCATATCTGTAACAAGCTTTCTCAAATGTAGTCGGACTTTCCTTTGTGGGTCTGCCAGCTCCCCAGTAAGGACATGGAGACTAAATATTAATTATGAAAGCTTAGCCTTAGCTTAGGCTTTTTTCCAACTAGCTCTTATAACTGAAATTAACCTGTCTCTATTAATCTACATTCTGCTACATGGCTCGTTTACCTCTGTTCTGTACCGTATGTCCGACTTCTTCAGAGTCTCTGGTTAAATCAGCCTCTCTTCTTCCCAGAGTTTTCTCTCTGTCCCCAGAAATCCTATCTAGTCTCTTCTGCCTAGCTATTGACCATTCAGATCTTTATTAAACCAATCACAGTGACACATCTTCACACAGTATAAACAAATATTCTGTAGCATTCCCTCCCTTTTTGTCTTAATAAAAAAGAGAAGGTTTAACTCTAACACAGTAAAACTATATATAATAATTATCAGGTAAGAATTATATTTACAATGTCCAGTCCATTTGTACTATCTTGATGAGTCCAAAATTTTATACCTAAACCATTTTCTATCATAACTTGTATTACCATCCTAAAAATATCCTTTTATACCTTAAAACATCTTCTTAAATAAACAACTTAAACTTTTATGTCTCTCAACCTTATAAACTTTACCTCTCTTTTGTAAGTTTCTTTTTGAATTTGGTAACAAGGCAAATGGTATCAGAGACCTTAAAAACATACCTAACATGGCCACAAATTTGATTATTAGATGATTAACTAATAACCCACATTTCTTAATTATCCTAAATAGTTTGTAATAATAACTTTCAAGGACTAGAAATTTATATTACATTGTCAAATGAGCTGCATAGGTACAATACCTTAAACAAGAGAAGAAACATATATACAGTATAACAAAAATAATCTTAAATTTGTATCAATATACAAAAATCCATACCAATGTAAAATATTTAAAACTAGTAGCTACTTCTTAGTTTAAAAGTAGATTCAATAATCTACCCTTTTTCCTATCATTTCTATACTATACCTTCCCCTTTTCCTTCAGAAAGAGATTCCTGAATCTAATCTCCTTTGCTCAGCTTTTTTCCTGACCAACAACTTGTAACCCACTCCCCTAAATGGTGATATTTATAATTCACTGAATGACCAAAACAACCATCCACCCCACCTCTTGGAAATGTGGGCTTCATGTTCTCTAGATTGCTTTCTGGGGGGCAATGGCATCTCTAGGGGACCCTGAAAAAATTGGGATAATGGTCAAATCCTGGGAGAGCTAGCTGTATTATTTTTGTTTAGTCTCTGTGTGATGGGAAAGTGTAGAGCTTTTCTGAAGTCCTGGCCGAATAGTCTGTGAGGCTGGAACATCTTAGCTAGCAGCTTTGAAGTTGTTCTGTGCCGAGGACAATTTTAAGAACCATGCCATATTGCCTGCCTGAGTTAAGTTTCTGTTGTCCAGTATTGAGCCACTAACCAGAAACTTTTGACATGCCTGGATAAATCCTGAGTTACTAGAAAATAACTTAACATTTCCTTATCTTTCTGCTACAGTGACCATTAGTAACAATGTTTTGTGGTTAGGTTGCTTGGTTGGGTTGCTTGGCAACTCAACAGTCCCCTGATCTTTTCCCAAAGAAAGTTTCCTGGTCTGCTTACTATAAAACCCACCTGAGAAAAATAAAATTTTGCAGCTTGATCAGAATACTGTCCTGCTGTCAATTCTTTGTGTCTCTTATCCCTTCAGTCGCCATTCCCCCTTCTAGGGTCTCTGCTGAAGATCCCACTGGCTGGGACAGTTCTGGATGTAGAGTTTTGAGGAAACTGCAACAGAGGCATTCTAAGAGGCTGGATCACCTGGGCTTCTTCATTGGTGTCTGGTCCTTTTTTCCTCCCCTGAAAACACACAAACTTTTAAAGATAACACATATATCTGTGTTAACACAAGTATAGAATGTGCAGTGTGCACAAATCAGCTAAGATGGTTTTTTTATTCTATGTTTGAGCGGGTAAAAGGCATCTGTTAATTTTATAAGTCTGTTTAGACTATATAACCAAACTGTAATATAAATCTCTATTCATCCATATGAAAGAATGGCATGTAATAATAAGTCATGAGAACTTTGTAGCCGACAAGATTTATCATGTCTCATCCAGTCTCAGAGATGTTCCCATGTAGAGGGATCAGTATATACATCACCTGTCTAGTTTTTCTTGTTTTTGTTTTTCTTTATGTTTGTAGCCAAGATCTTCAGGAGGTCTCCCCCAGTCAAATCTGATCTTTATTAATTTTGAATGACTTCATAGCTTTTTGTTTTCTGTGGAAACAAAGGCATAATCTCTTCCCCAACACAACACATTTCCCGACTTCCATTCTGAAGCCAAGACGTATATAGGCTGGTTTAATTTAGCAGTCTCTTTTATAATCCAGTGTCTCTCAGCAGCTGTCATTCTCTGTTCATTAGTCTTCAAAAAATTCAAAATTAACAAGCACCACATAAGATCCAAACTCCCTGTGTTATAATATTTCCCTTCCTTACGTGGTTCATTTTTATATTACTTTACCCTCTCTTTAAAGATTTTACTTTATTATTTTTAAACTATTATTTTTTTCTATGGCTATCTATATCCATTTCCTTTTCTTTCTTCAGCACCTACGCACCTTTTAAGCATACTGTACCTTTTTAGAGTTTTTTTTTTTTTTTTTTTTTTTTTTTTTTTTTTTTTTTTTTTTTTTTTTGTGTGTGTGTGTGTGTGTGTGTGTACCTAGCTTTCTGTGTGCCTGCAGTGTTCTCTGACCCCATGAGCCAAGCCTCGAAGGGCCAGGCTGTCCTTCCCGTGGTTCTGCTTAGCGCATGGCACTGATGGCTCACAGGTAGCGGCTGGGAACAAAATACCATTTCTTTTCCGAAGCAACAATGCTATTAACTGCTGAGCTATTATCTCTCCACTCCTTCCTTCCTTCCTTCCTTCCTTCCTTCCTTCCTTCCTTCCTTCCTTCCTTCCTCTTTTTTTTTTTTTTCCAAGACAGGGTTTCTCTGCATAACAGCCCTGGCTGTCCTAAAAGAATCTAAAACAAATGTCCTCTGATATTTAAAACAAAGACTATTTTAAGGAAGAGCTTGGCCAAGGGCATGTCTATTCACACATTGATATGTGATAGTAGTTTGGTTTGTCCATGTTCTTCTCATCTCTGTCTCATCACCCTTGGTAACGGCCTACCAGGAAAGATGTCTATTAATCACCTAACAGTATTTGGCTGGCCACTCACAGGTTACCCCCAGCAACCACCAACTGCCATCCAAAAGGGAAACTTTAAAAAACATTTATTTGTTAAAATTATCTTATTTTTTCTCATGTGTATGGGTGTTTTGCTTGCATGTGTTCAAATATTAAGTCACGAGGACTGGTTGTGGAAGTAAAATGGAAAGTATCACCATGTCTCATCTCTAAGACAGCTTTGTACAGCAAATCCTTGGAGGACGCAGACCCAGTATGAGCCCTAGAGGTCAGTGCAGCTGGAGGGACATAGATAGCACTCTCAGGTGGCAGACAGGCATGGGTTAGTGAGGACCAGGAGTGAAAATGGGCATCTACTGACTTCAGGTCTTAGGTCTATACCATCAAGCTCTGCAGCTCTGCTCACACATGACAAAGACTCTTCTCCCCATGCAGCAGAGGAGGCCCACTATCTCTGAGCACTCAGACCCTCCTGCATCTGCCTGGGAGTCATCTTCTAGGTGGTTCCCAAAGACATGGATTGGTGGTGGAGGTTACAGAGACCAACACTGGATGAAAGAGGCCTTTGCAAGGATCACAGATCCCACAGGGGGCATTGTCTTCATGATGTCTACACAGCACTGCTACCCAAGGCCAACATCACAAGGAACAATTCTAACCCCATGGAAGGTGAGTGGCCTTAAAGCATGAACCTGAGAGTCAGAATACAACCTACCTGTGGAGCACAAATGATCAAAGCCTCTCAGAAGGTGACAGGCTGAAGCTGTCCCAGGGCAACAGGACTCTAAGTGACACAAGACCCTATGAGTATGAAATCTGAAACTTAGTGAGTGCCATCTGAAGTGACCCATTCAACCTGAACATCACCAGTGAGTAGTTTCTGTTTCATCATGGCTACAACTGCATAAATACAGAGGGATAGAGCCAGGACACTCAGTCCCTCTTGGGTTGGTGACACAGACCCACCACACAGATACCTAGGCTGGCCTAGGCCAAGCACATGCAGCCAGGTCCAGTGTTGAGCTAGAATGGGCTGGAGGGACTTCTGCCTAGAGAGGCTCATGGTAATGGAGACACAGGGGACATCTCAGATTCAGGCTCAAGTGCACACATGAGTCTACTGTGTTGTTTTTTTTTTTTTTGTATGTTGGACTGGAGATGGATCAGGGCTTGTACATGCTACATGAATGCTCTTCTACTAATCTTCACCCCAGCTCTGGGTGGGACCTGCTTAACTAAGGTTATAGCACAGCTCAAAGAGACACTATGGCCTTCTACAGACCAGGATTTCCCCTTCCCTCGGCTGACATCACATGTGGCTTTCTTCTCTTTGCTCCAGATGGTCCAGATGTCCTGATCTGATCATATCCCTCTTAGATATTCATTTCTACCCAGTGTCAAACCTCAACCTTTCCTTCCTTGCAGCCTCTCACCCACCTTGGTGGTGAGCACAGCACTCTTGGCTCATCAATGGGAAGTCACAGTCATCCTCCGAAGAGCTTTCTATCCCCAACATCACTACTCATACCAGCAGATCTATATCTCCCTTGTCCAGAACTCTGACATTGGCCTCCATAGGACCACAGTGAAGTAGATTACAAGTGTAGGGAAATGGATCCCTGAAATATCAGCATCAAGCTTTGGGGTGAAGCCTTGGTTTTATGGATGGATACAGAAATAATTCCCAGGCTGTGTCATGGGCACAAACTACTCCCAATCCTGAGATTCCAGCTATGATTCCTCCTCCTCTCCTTGCATCTCTGATTTATTCTGGGTGACCCTGGATTAGTCTTGGAATGTGAGGGAGGCTTTCTTCTAGGTGAGAGGAACTTCCCAAGGGGAGGGGTTGTACTTAAGGTCAAACAGATTTTCCTTTCTGTCACTAACTCCTGCCTTCCTGTTCCCTCCATTTGCTATCATGATCTCCATGACCCAGAAGGCACACCCGGAGCTTTGAACCATGCTCATGCTCTCTTACCCCAAATGCTCCCAGCCCCCATCTTTTCTCACCTGGTGAATGGTTTCGGCTCTCATGCCAGAAGAGGCAGGAGCTGACTGTGCCTGGGAGGCCTGTCCTGAGTCAGGATGAAACTTACGTTTTGATGATGCTGTTTGATTAACTGTTCTCAGGGTCTGTTGTGGACATCACAGTGTCCCTGAGCTCAGGATCTGGGAAGTGGGAAAAGTGAGACCCAGGGTAGATGTCCTCGAGCTGTGTCCTGGCTCTGGGTGGACACCAGCACTTGTGATGACCACCTCAAACACGGAGGGACACTCCCTTGGAGAATGGGGAATTTTCTTTGAAATCTCCCTGTGGAAGAGGAGGACTTAGCAGTTTGAAACAGTGTCCTAGTTAGCATTAAGCGTTACCTTGACACAGTCCAACGTCACCTGGGGCAGGGAGGAAAGAGTCTCAACTACTAACTATCTTTATGATCTTAGGCTGTGGGCACATCTATGACAGGTTGTCTTAACTGATGCAGGAGGTCCTATGTCACTGTGGACAGCAGCATCCCTGGGCAGATAGTCCTGGGTTGTATAAGAAAGCTAGCTAAGTGTGGCGAGTGAGCGAGTGATGCAGGGAATTCGCCTTCAAGCAGCACACTTCCTGCCTTCTGCCTTGACTTCCTTCATTCCTTCATTGTGACCCAAACCGGGAAGGGAAACCAACCTTTGGTCTCCTAAACTGCTTTTGCTCAGGGTGTTTTTCATCACAGCTGGAGAAAGAAGTCTAGAACAAGGTATAGGGAAGAGCAGAGGACACATCTGTCTGAACCAGTGTTCTCTGCACTCAAGAGCAGAGCCCCTCAGCACTCCGTGGGCAAAGAGAAGGAAGGATTTAGACACCAGAGACGGGTCAGTGAATGCAGGTGAAGCCCCAACATCAGTGTCTTTTCCATTGAGTCTGAAGAAAAATGTCCTAAGGCTTTCCTTTGAAATTTTGGGGGCATAAGGCCCCTACCAAGGATTCCCATCCTCTGGATGTACATTACTTCTAACTTCAGTGCAGGGCTTCCCAGGACAAACATGGATCCCTGTCTAGACCCACCCTACACTCAATGAGGAGTTCTGGAGAGCACAGTGAACGGGATGACAGACCCTGCATCCCACCTGTGCCCAGGGTATCAGGGAAGGTCATCGTTGACTTGTTGACCTTACCTGCTGTAGCCCTAGACAAGAGACTGCAGTTCTCCCAGTGATTTCCAGGGCGTGATGTCGGGACACACACTCAGGCCTCATAAAATGGCTTGAGCCATGACCTTGCCTAGCAGACTGGTTTCCATTCCTGTCCCTACTAATGGGGAGCTCCCTCCCTAGACCCTGCTCTGTTTCTTGCCTGGGGAACAAGAGAGTCACCTCCTTCCTGGTATCTCCCAGAGGGAAAGAATGGATTATCACAGGGGAATCACCTAGGCAAAGGGCAAAGGTGACCCAGGAAGATCAGGGAGAATGAGGGCTCACCCAACATACAGCTCAGCCAATACATAATGATGAAGGCTGTCTTGAATCCCTCCATAGGAAGAGGGAGCCTTCAGGCCTTTCCAGGACACACAGGTCACTCTTTCCCAATACCGAGGACATGAAACTCCTCACACAACTACCCCTGGGCCTCTCTCCTGGATCCGAACTTTGACTGGTGACACTAGTAATAAAGGATTGATTTTCATCCCTATTGATCACTCAGCTGGTTCCTTTCCAGCTTTCACAGGCTTCTCTGCTTGGGGTAAATCCCACCTTCCTAAAACACTGAGGACACAGGGCAGATCGGATGCTCAGCGGGGTCTCTGTGTCACAAGGACCCATATGCATGATGGAGGCTCCCTCTTCGGTGCTGACAGACCTAAGGCAAGGACACAGCAGATGTCAGCCCTGGGATGAGCCGTTGTTCTCCGAGGGCAAGGGGATGCTTATCAGCCTTGTTGCACACTGCACTGATTGGAGGATAAACATAAAGGGAAGTTGAGAGGGATGCTGGGCAGCACTTGGAGTGGAAGGGATTCAGCAGTGCTTTGGACTCAAACCCCACCACCCAGAGCCCCCTGGATTCTGAGAAGCGCTCTTGCCTGGGAGGACACTCAGCTCAGAGGGAGGAAGGACAGTAGAGACTGAGCACCTTGCCAGAGCTGAATCCCTTCTCCTCAGAGGGAGGACACCACGGTGAGAAGAGAGATGGAGGTGTCCTCTGTGATTCCCTGCAAGGGCTGGACCCCCTGGCAGGGGCTACTGTTCACGGGTAAGGCTACTGTTCACATTCTCTGACTGTGTGGGGAGGGCAACTCAGAAGCAGGCTGGAGTCTCCTAAAGAGAACAGGATCTTGAGAGGAGACTCGAGGTTTCTGTTTGCAGTCACGGGGCAGAAGGTACAGTGAGGGACAGAGACTCAGAATCCTGAAGCTCTCAGCGGACAGGAGGTGATGAGGGGAAGTGAAAAGCCCCAACCACTCCCTATTCAAAGTGAGTCACACTGACTGCCATGTTCTGAAGCCTGATGTCCCCAGTCATGGCAGGGTGACTCCAAATATAAATCAACAGGGGTGGGCCAGGGGGATGGCTCAATGTGTGGAGACTTGACAACCTGCATTCAGTCCTCAGCTCCCACGGGGTAGATGGAGAGAACAGAGTCCTGAAGGCTCTTCTCTGTCCTCCACACAGGTACTTTAGCATGTACCTGCACATGAGCAAACTGAGACACTTTTGTCCTCACAGGTGCTGTGACATATGCCCGCACTTGCACACACTGAGACATTTTCCTCCACACAGATTTGTGGAATACACCTTCACATGCACACATTGAGATACCTGCCTTCAGAAATACACACATACATGAGTAAATCTAAAATAACTTAAATCAAGTTGATTTATTGATTATTGTCATTAACTACAAACTTGGGAACTATGTAGATAATCCCATGGGGACACATTTCTCTTCCTTCCTTCCTTCTTTCCTTTCTTCCTTCCTTCTCCTTTTTCTTTATCCACTTGTGTCTGAATCTTTTCCAGGAACTTACCTTTCCAAAAAGGTCAAACTAATACCTGTCCTCCCAATGCCCTTGTTCTAGTGGACCTGATGTCCGCTCATCTGCAAGATGAAGTCATGGGTTGACTGGAATCACAAAGGGAAGAGAGGAAAACCACAGAAAGTGAGGACTCTCCAGGGGAGGAGTTCAGAGAGGCATTGCTCCTCACACCGCTGAGGGGGGATCCAGGCAGACACCTGAGCAGAGGATTCCTAAGAGAGTTAATAACACAGTCAGAGGTTCTGAGGGAATGGAAGTCATGTTGCTCATGTCTACCAAGTGTGGTCACACCGTTAACCACACACCTAAGCAGAGTGCTGATCACATCCGCTCAATGTTGATGCTTCCACTCTGTTCCCTTCTAGCCTCCATTTTAACCTGCTGGCACCTTTCCGCCACTGACCATATCACCATTAAATCTGTCCCATCCCAAGTGGCCAATGGAGACAACGTCCTTCTTCTTGTCAACAAACTGCCAGAAGATCTTCTAAACTTTGCCTGGTTTAAAGGCGAGTCAGGCATGAACCTTGGAATTGCAATATATGCACCAGACAGAGATTTAATCATGCAAGGGCCTGGATATAGCGGTAGAGAGACAGTGTACCGCAATGGATCCCTGCTGATCCAAAATGTCAATGAGAAGGACACAGGACTCTACACCCTGCAAACCTTAAATGAACATGGAGATGTTCTGTCAGTAACAACTATGCGCCTGCATGTGTACCGTAAGTGATTCTTTGTGAATTCTGGTTTCTGGGTGGGCTTCATTCCGTTGGACACAAACAGCAGAGTGGCCTGGGTTTTCCTCTGCATTGCATCCTCATGCTGGGGTTTTAGTATTTAGTGCAGGACACACATGGTGTAGAATAATGGCAATAGATCACAGTCCTTCATTTGACTTCACCCTGAGACAGGTAGATGCATGGTGGGTAACTCAGCCCAGGATAACAGCCTCTGTCTAGACTCTTGGGGTTCTTACCAGGAATATATCCTTGAAAATGACCCAGAGGGAATCAACGTTGGGCCTGATGGAGGAAAACTTGGGATCCTCACAGAGCTGTGAGAACCAAGATGCCCTGGCTCCAGACCTCTGTTCCAGACTCAGCTCCAGGTAGCTCGGAGAAGCATTTCACAAAGGTTGGATTTTGATCTCCTGATGGCAGGGAACAATGCTTTTTAGTAGTCCAAGTCCTGCACCTTTGGAACCAGCCAGTGCACTGTCATGAGAGATCTAGTTAGTCTAGGTCCCCTGGACATTTTCTCCAGAGACTGAACATGGAGGGAGAGCTTAGCCAGACAGGTGCCCAGGCCATTACCTTTATGTTCTGATGACCTTCACAGGAAGGTCAGGGCAACCAAGGACAGGGAGAGAGGACAGAGGTCCTCCTGACAAGTGTCCTCTGGGGTCCAGCTCAGGGAATTGTCTCCTGTAGGGAAATGGCTATAGGCCTTGCTGATCTGACAGCTCCCCAGACATGAACTGCAGTTTCTCTAGTGATCACCTGGGGCGGTGTCAGGACACACAATAAACAAGTGGAAAAGAATTTGCCTGAATCAGAACATTATCTAGTAGTCTGGTTCCACCCTCCTTTTTTCAGATCTGGCAATTATGGACCCAGCATTCTCAGACCTACTGGCTTCTTAATGTGTCTGCTACACTGCCACGTGATCATGTTCCATTTTCCCCTTTATGTGTTTCCTTTGGGAAATATAAAATATCCAAGGGCAATCAGTTAGACAGAGGTCCAAGTTATCTCAGAAAGACCACGATGCACATGGGCAGACCCATTACTCAGCTCAGCAAACAGAGGAAGTGAGCATGGTCTTGAAATCTTGCCTGGGACAAAGATGCTCACAGCCTTTGTCCAGGAATCAGATCACCGCCTCCCACACACCCAGGTGTGAGATTCCTGACACATCCTGGGCCTTTGACCTGGGTCAGAACTTTGATGGCTCCATTGAGAGCAGGTTTGTTCTCTTCTCCGCACATCACTCAGCTGGTCCTTTTGGAGCCTCACAGATATCTCTGTCACTTTCCAGCTAAGAGCAAATTCCATGTTTGCTGAGCATTGAGAACACAGGGCAGACTGGGTGCCCAGCTGGGTTTCTGTGTCACACAGGTGTGCAGATTTTCCCTTTTGGTGAGACACTGTTCTTACACAGAATTAATAGGCATGGCCCCAATATTCTGAAGACTGATATTTTTAGCTTGACATCATAAAAATTCAAGCTGGTGTGGACCAGTGGTATGGGTCAAAGGATATAGGCATTTGCTTCTTTTTCTGACAATCTGATGCCCGTGAACCTCAAGTTGTCCTCTGACCTCCACTCAAGTGCTGTGTCCTGCACCCACCCACCCACACTGAGACTGGTCCTGATACAAACTCACATGCAGATATAATATGTGAACTAGTGTAAAAAATAAAAGGAAATGGATTGATTCAATACTGTATCCCCTAGCCTATGAACTATTAAATAAGTCTATGGGCACACAGGGTTCTGGAACATCATTCATTCATTCATTCATTCATTCATTCATTCCTTCTCTACAAATATCCAAGTTTTTTTTTTTTTTCCTAGGCAGTATTTTTTTTAAAAATAAGACAAATAAAGTTTCTTTTTGATGCCCCAGTCTTCATGGACTTGAAGAAGTCAGGTGTTGATTTGAACCCCAAGAGGAACAGAAAAACAGTGATAATGAAGTCAGAGAGTGAAGATGTGGGGTCTGCAGGGGAAGAGGTCTGGCAGGCATCACCCCAACACCAACACTGTAAATGTGAGCAGGGGTCTGATGGCAGTAAGACAGGGCCACATTGACAACTGAGGAGAGACACAACCGAGTGGAAATGACAGGTGTGGGGACACTGAACATGAGGGTCACGTGATGACCTCCACCAGGTAGGACAGGGAGACACTCCCACACCTAGGATGAGCAGTGGACACAGCTGCTCAGGACACAGGGGCCCATGTCAGTCAAATACAAAGTTCCCAATTTAGATGGATCTCTCTCTTCTCTTCTAGCCTTCCTTTGGACCTGTGGGCGGCTCGCTACCTCTGCCCAGCTCACTGCTCAATCAGTACCTCCCAGTGTCGCTGAAGGCGGAAGTGTTCTTCTCCTCGCTCACAATCCCCCGGAGAATATTATAGCCTTTGGCTGGTTCAAATGGATGAATTCGTTCAGGAAAGTTGAGATTGGCCAATACATAATAGACAGGAAGTCAACTGTGTGGGGGCCTGCATACACTGGCAGAGAGACCTTGTACAGTGACGGATCCCTGCTGCTCCGTGGTGTCACTCAGAAAGACCATGGATTGTACACTGTACAAATTCTGAGAACAGACATGAGAAGTGAAGAAGCAGAAGTGCAACTCCAGGTGGACAGTAAGTGACTCTCTGTGACTGTTCAGTGCTGGGTGGGGCTTAGACACACAGGGCTGTCATAGCTGGTCTAGCCTCCCTTCCCTCTGCCCTGTGTCCCCATGGGGAGGTTTGAGCACTTAGTGCAGGACACACTGGTAGAGACAAATGGCCATAGATCATCTTCCATCTTCTGACTCCACCTGCATCAAGGAAGACCTTGATGGAATGTAACTCAGCCTAAGATGCCAGAGTCAGCCCAGGATCTTGGGGCTCTAGACCAGGGACCCCTGAATCCTGTCTTCTTTCCAAGGCTGGACTAAAGTGATGCAGGGAAGCATATTTTTCTAGTGCTCTACTCTTACAAAACTGATAGAAAACAATGGTTTTAGAAATCCATGTCAAACTGGAATATTTAATAGGTCCAAATTGAGAGTGTCATAAATGAAATCCAGGATCTGGAGGAGTGCTTTCTATTTGCTTGCTTTTCATGCTTGCTCTTACATGCTAGCCCAGGGTTTGAACTGCCTGCATTGGTCTGAATCCTTTTGCATCAGCCCCCACTTTTAAATATGTACTATAGCTTTGCCCATGGGCCAATCTGGTGATGGCATTTTCAACTGAGCTGTTGTCTTGCAAAATGACTGCAGCTTGTGTCAAGTTGACATAAAACCAGCCAGCCTCGCACCCAAGCCTTTTGAAGACCTGAGCCTGCCTTGAAGATGAGACTGCTCCCAGCCCCCACACAGCTCCAGACCTAAGGAGTACTTGACAGAGCAGCAAGTGCATCTATTAGGTGGGATCAGAAATTGAGTGTTGCCTCAAAGAAACTGAAGAAAAAAACATAGAAAATGCAAGTCCCAGACCTGTTGAGTTCAGGGGAGGCATCATCTCAAACCCCAGTGTGCATGAGTGTGTGCAGTGTCTGACTGAGGGCAGTGAGGGAGCAGCCATGTAGACACCCAAGGGGACAGTTCCATGTAGTGGACATGACACTTTCAGGGGCACTGTTGCAAAGGAGGAGGTCATGTTTTTGCCCTTCAGTAAGTGGGGTAGACACACACACACACACACACACACACACACACACACACACACACACCTGCACCTCTAGGCTGAGTGATGAATCCATCTGTTCAGGATGGAGGCCACAATCTTTTTACTGAGCACAATGATCCCCATGTGATGGCTTTTTTCTCTTTTTCCTCCCAGCCTCCATTTCTCTGTGTTGTAACCTTCTCACTTCTTCCCAAACCATGATCCAACCGGTGCCTCGGTTTCCTGCTGAAGGGGAAGGCGTACTTCTCCAAGTTCATAATCTTCCAGAAGATCTGCTAAACTTTGTCTGGTACAAATCAAAGTATGGGACCCCGGTCCTTAAAATTGTAGAATACAGCAGAGATATGAATTCCGTCTTCTGGGGGCCTGCATACAGAGGAAGAGGGATGGTGTACTATAACGGATCCCTGATGCTCCAGAATGTCACTGAGAAGGATGCAGGAATATACACACTGGAAGTTTTAAAGAAGAATTCCAAAATTGAAAAAGCATCCGTGGAATTTAATGTAAAGAGTAAGTGATTCTATGGTCTCCAGGGGCTGGGTGTGGCTTATCCTGCCTCATACACTGGACTCTCAGGACTGGACTGTGCCTGCTCTCTCCCCCACTGCACTGTGTCCCCCCTTCTGGGGTTTGGGTGCTCACTGCAGGAAACACAAGGGTAGAAAAACAGTAGTAGTTCAGAACCCCTCACCTGTCTTTACCTGCAGAGTGGAGGGCCTGTGCTGGGTAAACTCAGCCCCAGGATGTCAGCCTGACATCCAAACGCGGACACTTGGAGCTCACACCAGGCACATGTCCCCAGAAAGACTCTGTGGGAGTTAGGCAGTTCCTGGCTGTGGGGTCCTCACAGAGGGCACCAGGAATCCCTGACTCCAAAACTTTGTCCCTGGCTGGACTCAAGGTGACTTTGGAGATTTTTTTTGTCACTGTTGGTTTAGATTTCCTGTCAGAGTGACAGGGAAGAAGGCTTTGCTGACTGTCCAGTCATGGGACTGTCACATAGAGTGTGGAACCATCTGTGTACTGTCATGACATCTGCAGTTCATAGGTCACCTGAGCATCTCCTTCCCCTGAGGCTCAGTGGACACGTGTCCGGGGCATTAGCCTATCATTCTGATGGGCTTGAGACTTTACAGGAAAGTCAAGGCACTAATGGAACATACAGAGGATGCAGATACTCCAGATTCCTCCTTCACCTCAGGGGTCCAGCCTAGGGAATTCTCTTCTGCAGGTGAATAGTAGCAGATGCTGCTGATGTGAGCAGCTCCCCATCCTAAGGTCAAACCATTGCTGATAACTAAGCTTAACTCATGGACATAGCAATGATCATGCACGCTGTGTCCTATTACATGGAAATGGAGACACAGGAAACAGTGCCTGAATCAGGGTAACACAGTCCCTGGGTGGCAGATCCAAAGTACGAGGTATTTCTATAGTCATAAAGTATGAACTAAAGAGGGTCTGGTTGAATTCTGTGGACTCCTGCCATTTTGTACCCTCTTCTGTTTCTTCACAGAGAATGTGTCACAGCCCTTTGTGCGAGTCACTGACACCACAGTCGAAGGACGCAGATCTGTGACCTTCACCTGCATCTCACCCGACACTGATATCTCCATCCGTTGGATCTTCAACAACCGGAGTCTGCATCACTTAGAAAGGGTGACTCTGTCCCCTACAAAGTGTGGACTCAGAATAGATTCTGTTGGGCGGGAGGATGCAGGAGAGTATAAGTGTGAGGTCACCAATGGCGTCAGTTTGAAGACCAGTCTCCCAGTCTGGTGGCCATGATGAGTGAGTGACCTCTCTCCTCTCATCCTATAGTAGAATGCTGGCATTTCTTTATCAATGGGGTAGAAAATGGAGGAACGTTATGTGGTGGTACAGCCAGCATGGTGACTCATGCCTATAATCCTGGGATGCACATATATATAAGGGAAGACCAGGATTTAAAGAGAGCTTGTCTTGAAACTAAAGACATCAGTGTGGTAAACAAAAATTCAAAGGCTTTAAGAACTTAGGTTGTGGTTCAAATATATAATGATATTTCAGAGTTCATGGAAACTAATTTCAGGAGCCCTCAAACTTTTGGATGCTCTGAGTCTGCTGTGAAAATGGTGCATTGTTTGTATAGGGAAAAACATCCTCTCATATGCTCAAACACATTCCCTGTCTAACTAATTCACCTAGACCCCATGCTGCCTGCACACCAGTCACCCATGTGAAGTGAGGAAGAGTGACAGGAGAAGGGTCTGCCCATGATTCACTGTGGACATAGCTGGTTTCTAAACAGCTTTGATCGACAGTTTGAAGAACAGATGTAAAATCCTTCATGTAAGAGCAGATCGTACTGTTTTTATCATGAGAGTGGCATTTACAGTGGACCTTGCATGTGAATGTTTTCCTGTTAACGTGTATATCTTTCCTTTCTTAGTCTCCTATCACATATTACATCCCAACCACAGTTTCCTCCCGAAACTTCCAGTTCCCCTCTATTCCAGATCCACCCCTCTTCTATTTCACTTCAAAAAATGAGCAGGCCTCCCAGGCTCATTATGTATATATAGCACATGCATGTCATGGCAAATTATATTAGACTTGCCACAACCCTTCATATCAGAGCTGGGAGAGGCAACCCAATAGGAAGAAAAGGGTCCATAGGACAGGCAAAATAGTCAGAGATGTCCCTACTTCCACTATTAGGAGTTCCACAAGAACACCCATCTACATCATCAAAACATATTCAAAGGCCCTAGATCATATCCATACAGGATCTGTGATTATCACTTCAGTCTCTGTGATCCTCTCTAAGCCATGATTAATTGTTTCTGTGTTCCATGTTTTCATGGTGTCCTCAATCCCTCTGGTTCCTACAATCTATCCTCCCCCTATTCTGTGGGTTTTCCTTTCCACTCCCGAGTGTTTGTCTGTGTGTCTCTGCAGCTGCTCCCATCAGTTGTGGGATGATGCCTCTCTGATGACTATTAGGCTAGGCACTTACCTTTGAGTAGAAGAGAGCATCGTTAGTAACCATTTCATTGAAATGTTTTTCCAGCCATGTTTGGTTCTATCCTGAGTCTCTGGGCTGTCCATCCTCTGGTTGGACATCCAGGCAGTGTCAGGTCTGGGCTTCCTCTCATGGCCTGGGCGTTAAGTTGGACCAGTCATTGGTTGGCCACTGTCACAAGTTCTGCTTCACCATTACCACAGTAGATCCTACAGGAAGGACAGATTGTAGGTCGAAGGTTTTGTATCTTGATTGGCGTCCCGGTCCCACATCTAGAAGTTTTCTGTGGTTACAGAAGATGGCTGGTTCAGGCTACCTTCCCTCATTACCAGGAGTCTTCACTAGGGTCACTCTTACAGACTCCAGGGAGTTTCCACCGTAGTAGGTTTCTACATTACTCCCCAAATGCCCCCACCATTCCAGTTGCTACTCCACGTCCTCTCTCCTTCTATCCCAACATCCTCCACTTGTTTTCCCCTGTTCCCATCCCCACTGCCCCTCATCCATCCACAAAATCTATTCTATTTCTTCTTCCCAGGGAGATACATGAGTCCCACTTGAGTCTCACTTGTTACTTAGCTTCTCTATGCCTGTGACAAAACAGGACATCTAATTGTTTGTGGCAATAATAGTTTACTGAAGTAGAGCTCAGACGGGTGTGTTTGTTCACCAGTTCCAGGAACTTCTGTAGAATCTTTCAGATTTTCCAAAAATAAGTTCATATCATCTGAAGATTTATTTTACAGCCAATTAACTGGTCACATTTTATTTATTTGTGTTGCCACAAATAAAGGACATCTAAGAGGATACTGACAAAAAGAGGCCACTGTAGCATCCTTGTGTAGATCCTGGTCTTAGAGGGAAAGCTGTCAGTGTCCCCACTGAGTACTGAGGTGGCTGTGGTTTTTCACGTGTGCCCCAATGCACTGGCCTCTTTCTACCCTTAGTTTGTCTGTTTCCATTATTAAAAATTGTTCACTTTCGCCGGGCGGTGGTGGTGCACGCCTTTAATCCCAGCACTCGGGAGGCAGAGGCGGGCGGATCTCTGTGAGTTCGAGGCCAGCCTGGGCTACCAAGTGAGTTCCAGGAAAAGGCGCAAAGCTACACAGAGAAACCCTGTCTCGAAAAACCAAAAAAAAAAAAAAAAAAAAAAAAAAAAATTGTTCACTTTCGTCAAATTTCTTTATTGATTCAGTCTTATGAGTTATAAATGTAATAAATTTTGTGTTTCTTCGTGATTCCACCTCTGTAGGTTCTGGGTCTCAGATATTTGTCTGTTTCATATAAGTCACTCTATAATTACCCACATCATTATTGAGTAGTCATGGAAATTTTAGTAATCTGACAAATGGACAGCAAGTTCCCAAAATTCACTTCTAGTGTTAAGAATGTCACTCTTAAAAACCAAGTTAATCTAATTAAAATTTGTCAATGCCATTAACCACTTTGAAGAATGAACTTAGACTCTTTTCTCATACAATACATATGTTTATAGTTTTCCCTCTCTCAACCCTTCCCAGTTCCTCCCCACACCCCCTACCATCAGATCCACTCCCTTTCTTTCTCTCCTTACAGAAGACTAGGCCTCCAAGAGATAACAGCAAAACATGCAGAATAATTTTATTTTGGTTTTTCGAGACAGGATTTCTCTGTGTAGCGTTGGAGCCTGTCCTGGAACTCACTCTGTAGACCAGGCTGGCCTCGAACTCACAGAGATCCACCTGACTCTGGCCTCCAAGGACTGGGATTAAAGGCATGTGCCACCAATTGCCCAGCTCCAGAATAAAATTTAATAAGATGAAACACAACTATCATATTGATATTGGACCCTTCAGCTCAGCAGGAGCAAAAGAGTCCCAAGAGCAGACACAAGAGTCAGATACCCTTGTTCTCAGTGTCAGGAGTCTCATAAAAATACTAAGGTAATAGCTATAATATACGTACAGAAGACCTGGTGTCAACTCATGTAGGTCCTGTGCATGCTGATTCAGTCTCTGTGAGCTCATATGTGCCTTGCTTAGTTGATTCACAGGGTCTTGTTCTGGTGTCCTCCCTTCCCTCTGGCTCTTACATTCTTTCTTCCTCCTCTTTTGAGGGGTTCCTGGAGCTCTTAAGGGATAGATTTGATGGACACATCCATTTTGACTGTCCGCATTGTAAGTATTACAGCTCTGGAGGGAAAGGTATCCTGGCTCTCAGAAGCCATGAAATACCTACCTGTAGGTGTTACAGATCTCAAGGGAAGGTTATTCTGGCCACTAGAAGCCAGGCAATACCTGTAAGTGTTATAGCTCTGAAGGGAAAGGTATTTTGGCTATCAGAAGCCAGGCAATACCTACAGATCAGAAGGAAAAGATATCCTGATAAGAAGCCAGGAGATACCGACAGTTCTGTTCCAGTGGGGCATAGTTTCCCTGTAGGAATGTAACAGTTCTGCTCCTCTCAAAGAGCTTCTGCAGCCCTGTTCTGCTCTGCTAAGGAAGTTTTCCCACAGAGATGTAGTACTTCTTCTCCTGATCTGGCAAGAGCCTTTCTGCTCTGCTCCTCTCTGCTAAGGGAGCCTCCCTGCAGAAATGTAGCAGTTCTGCTCCTGCTCCAGCAAACGTTGTTACTTCTCTGTCCCGCTTCACTCAGTAGAAAGAAGGTTGTCACCCTAACCTCATTCAAGAGACTTATTGGTAGGGAAGAATTCAGGAGAGTGGCTGCCTCTGCCAGTGTGGCAAAAGGCAGCAGCAAACTGAACAGGTACAGGGCTTATATAGGGTTTCTTAGGGGCAGAGTTTTTCCAGGGTGAAGATTTTCAGAGTAGGAATTGATTGGATTTCAATCCCTGAGCTTGGACAAGCTCAGAAACTGGCTGGATTTTGTGCTCAGGGATTGGTTGGTTTTCATGCTCAATTGGTCAGGGCCAGGGTGTGTTTCTTTGACTGGCCCTTTCCCCCTACACATATGGTTTCTGTTGTGGGTGTCTGCATCTATTCGCTTCCCATTCACTGCCAGGGAAGCCTCTCTGATTATGATTGGATAAGGAATTGACCCATGAATATAGCAGAATCCAGCTGGATCTGATGCAGAACCCTCCTCTCTGAGGACTAGACCTTATGGTACTTGAAGATTCTGTGCAAGCTGGCAATAGAGGAAAACAATCTATTGTCCTACCCAGTTGTGATTCTTACAAATGACAACAACGACCATCATAGAAAGATATCCCCAAATGTTCAAGAGTGGCGCTTATCCCTTGGAGGCAACCAAAACCTGTCTAATTGGACTCCAGGCTGCTCAAAAGGAGGGCAACCCTGGCTGGTACTGGAATGCAATCAACTGTACATGGATAGTGATGTTATGGATCCTAGAGGAGAGCCTATAATGGCCACTTTCCTAAACCAGTTTAATTTCTAGGTTCATTCTAAATACACATTCTTATTCCCACAGAGAAGTGTAGTTCTAGTCGTACATTAAAGACGCTTTTTTTTTTGCATAGACAGAAGCCATCAAAGAAATCCAAAAATAATCCAAATGTAGCCAACAATGGATGCTGTGGTGGTATGTATACAAATGTCCTCCATAGACTCACATGTTTGAATGCTTGTCCCAGAGAATTGCACTTCTAGGAGGTGTGGTCTTGTTTGGGTAGATGTGGCCTTGTTGGAAGAAGTTTCTGACGATGGAGGTGGGCTTTGAGGTCTCATATGGTAAGCAACTCCCAGTGTGGCACACAGTCTCCTTCTGCTGCCTCAGGATCAAGATGTGGAACTCTTACCTCCATTTCCAGCAACATGCCTGC